TAACTGTTTGCTGTTTAAGATTTTTTTTTTTTTTTTTTTTTTTTCTTCATCCAACGTAGATAGTGTTAAAGCAAAATAAAAAAAAAGAAATAAATAGAGAGAGAGAGAGAGAGAGAGAGAGAGAGAGAGAGAAAGGAGAGAGATTCGGACTCTCGACCTCCAGTTTACAAGACTGGCGCTCTAACCAGCTGAGCTACGGAGCCGTAGGCCATTAACTGTTTGCTGTTTAAGATTTTTTTTTTTTTTTTTTTTTTTCCTTCATCCAACGTAGATAGTGTTAAAGCAAAATAAAAAAAGAAATAAATAAGAGAGAGAGAGAGAGAGAGAGAGAGAGACTCTCGAGAGAAGACTGGCCCAGGAGAGAGCCGGACTTAACTCGACCTCCAGTTTAAAAGAAAAAAAGACTGGCGCTCTAACCAGCTGAGCTACGGAGCCGTAGGCCATTAACTGTTTGCTGTTTAAGATTTTTTTTTTTTTTTTTTTTTTTTCATCCAACAACGTAGATAGTGTTAAAGCAAAATAAAAAAGAAATAAATAGAAATAGAGAGAGAGAGAGAGAGAGAGAGAGAGAAAAGGCCCGGAGAGATTCGGACTCTCGACCTCCAGTTTACAAGACTGGCGCTCTAACCAGCTGAGCTACGGAGCCGTAGGCCATTAACTGTTTGCTGTTTAAGATTTTTTTTTTTTTTTTCCTTCATCCAACGTAGATAGTGTTAAAGCAAAATAAAAAGAAGAAATAAAAAAGAAGAAATAAAGAGAGAGAGAGAGAGAGAGAGAGAGAAAGGCCCGGAGAGATTCGGACTCTCGACCTCCAGTTTACAAGACTGGCGCTCTAACCAGCTGAGCTACGGAGCCGTAGGCCATTAACTGTTTGCTGTTTAAGATTTTTTTTTTTTTTTTTTTTTTTTGAATCCAACGTAGATAGTGTTAAAGCAAAATAAAAAAGAAATAAATAAAGAGAGAGAGAGAGAGAGAGAAAGAGAAAAAGGCCGGAGAGATTCGGACTCTCGACCTCCAGTTTACAAGACTGGCGCTCTAACCAGCTGAGCTACGGAGCCGTAGGCCATTAACTGTTTGCTGTTTAAGATCCAACGTAGATAGTGTTAAAGCAAAATAAAAAAAGAAAAATAAGAGAGAGAGAGAGAGAGAGAGAGAAAAAATACGGAGAGATTCGGACTCGACCTCCAGTTTAAAGACTGGCGCTCTAACCAGCTGAGCTTAGGCCATTAACTGTTTGCTGTTTAAGATTTTTTTTTTTTTTTTTTCTTCATCCAACGTAGATAGTGTTAAAGCAAAAAAAAAGAAAAATAAAAGAGAGAGAAGAGAGAGAGAGAGAGAGAGAAAAAAGGCTCCGGGAGAGATTCGGACTCTCCACCTCCAGTTTACAAGACTGGCGCTCTAACCAGCTGAGCTACGGAGCCGTAGGCCATTAACTGTTTGCTGTTTAAGATTTTTTTTTTTTTTTTTCTTCATCCAACGTAGATAGTGTTAAAGCAAAATAAAAAGAAGAAATAAAAAAGAAGAAAGAAGAGAGAGAGAGAGAGAGAGAGAGAGAAAGGCCCGGAGAGATTCGGACTCTCGACCTCCAGTTTACAAGACTGGCGCTCTAACCAGCTGAGCTACGGAGCCGTAGGCCATTAACTGTTTGCTGTTTAAGATTTTTTTTTTTTTTTTTTTTCCTTCATCCAACGTAGATAGTGTTAAAGCAAAATAAAAAAGAAGAAATAAATAGAGAGAGAAGAGAGAGAAAGGCCCGGAGAGAATAAAAACCTCCAGTTTACAAGACTGGCGCTCTAACCAGCTGAGCTAAAGCCGTAGGCCATTAACTGTTTGCTGTTTAGAGAGATCCAACGTAGATAGTGTTAAAGCAAAATAAAAAGAAGAAATAAATAGAGAGAGAGAGAGAGAGAGAGAGAGAAAGGCCCGGAGAGATTCGGACTCTCGACCTCCAGTTTACAAGACTGGCGCTCTAACCAGCTGAGCTACGGAGCCGTAGGCCATTAACTGTTTGCTGTTTAAGATTTTTTTTTTTTTTTTTTTCATCCAACGTATCCAACGTAAGAAATAAATAGAGAGAGAGAGAGAAAGCAAAATAAAAAAAACCTCCAGTTTAAATAAAGAGAGAGAGAGAGAGAGAGAGAAAACTGTTTGTCGGAGAGATTTTTTTTTTTTTTTTTCTCTCGACCTCCAGTTTACAAGACTGGCGCTCTAACCAGCTGAGAGACGGAGCCGTAGGCCATTAACTGTTTGCTGTTTAAGATTTTTTTTTTTTTTTTTTTTTTCTTCATCCAACGTAGATAGTGTTAAAGCAAAATAAAAAAAGAAGAAAAAATAGAGAGAGAGAGAGAGAAAGAGAGAGAGAGAGAAAGGCCTGAGAGAGATTCGGACTCTCGACCTCCAGTTTACAAGACTGGCGCTCTAACCAGCTGAGCTACGGAGCCGTAGGCCATTAACTGTTTGCTGTTTAAGATTTTTTTTTTTTTTTTTTTCATCCAACGTAGATAGTGTTAAAGCAAAATAAAAGAAAAAAAATAAATAGAAGAGAGAGAGAGAGAGAGAGAGAGAAAGGCTCCGAGAGATTCGGACTCTCGACCTCCAGTTTACAAGACTGGCGCTCTAACCAGCTGAGCTACGGAGCCGTAGGCCATTAACTGTTTGCTGTTTAAGATTTTTTTTTTTTTTTTTTTTTTCATCCAACGTAGATAGTGTTAAAGCAAAATAAAAAAAGAAGAAATAAGAGAGAGAGAGAGAGAGAGAGAGAAAGGCTCCGGAGAGATTCGGACTCTCGACCTCCAGTTTACAAGACTGGCGCTCTAACCAGCTGAGCTACGGAGCCGTAGGCCATTAACTGTTTGCTGTTTAAGATTTTTTTTTTTTTTTTTTTTTCATCCAACGTAGATAGTGTTAAAGCAAAATAAAAAAAAATAAAGAGAGAGAGAGAGAGAGAGAGAGAGAAAGGCTCCGGAGAGATTCGGACTCTCGACCTCCAGTTTACAAGACTGGCGCTCTAACCAGCTGAGCTACGGAGCCGTAGGCCATTAACTGTTTGCTGTTTAAGATTTTTTTTTTTTTTTTTTCCTTCATCCAACG